TCTGGGGTGGGAAGAAGACATCATTGTATACCTTTTTAGATAGAAATTTTGCCCTGTACATGCATTAAAACAACAACAACTCTAGTTTAATAAGAGAGAGATAGCTAGTAGTCTGATCTATTATTAATTATTGTTAATAAAATAAATGATTTTTTTAAATGAGAAGAAAAGCTCATGAATTCATTGAGAATTTTTAAATTCCTGTTTTATTTTTTTCCCTACCCTATATTTCTATACCATATACATTTAACAGCAATCTTGCATTCAGTCAAGGTGCTCTTTTAGAATGCTGATATAGAATTTTAAAATTCCTTCAAATCCTTATTTGGTTAAGCTTTGCATTATATGGCATTTGTATTTGTCTAGAGACCTGTTCTTATTGAAACACTTGTTAAGAGAAGCCCTTTAGAACTGACTTTCTGAAACTTGCCATATTATAATGACCCTTTGAAGGGATGTATTTATCAAAATATTACTTCAATTGTAGAGGCATGAAACTAGAACCTTTGTGGTTTTGGCTCATTTATAACTAAACCAAGTCAGCAGATTAACTACAAAGACAACTACAAAACCAACAAAATTCAGATTAATACGGTTATTCATTCTGACAGATGATGTTTAGGAAAAAATAGCCTTAGGTCTGATTTCGTTTTACATCTGTTTTTGTATTTTAACTTCAGTGATACTAAAAGCTGCAAGTGCCCATTCTCTTATGTTGTGTACGGTGGTATCAATGACTTCAAGGCTTTGTAAGTTTAGGATAATCAGACCTCGTACCTAAGCAAAACACTTGCCAGCAAGCATTCCTCAAATACCAATTTAATGCGATGTCTACTGTCGTGTTCACTTGAGATAAGGTTAACATTATGACATTACTGAAATCTTTATTAAATGGTTCTCTAAACCAATTAATGCTGGAGTGGGAATGGGAAAATGTCATTGCATACTTACATCCACATTTGCTGCTAATGAACTTTTGCAAATTATACTACAAAGATAGGACCCATGTAATATTTGTAGTATATATATATATATGGTATTGGCTGTTAGCTGTTGGCTTTTGAATATATCATGCCTGTATTGCCATAGGCTCTGATGATTCCAGTTTCCTGTATTTTTTCATTCTTCCAGTTATAATTACTTTGAAACCTTTGCTCATACAGTGTGCTATGAGGATATTTGGCCTGAGGGGATCCTAACACTGCTAAAGCAGCAGCAGTGAAACCCTACTTACAGTACTTGCTTAGGCGGTGGTTGCACATGATCTAGAATGTTTATTATTCATTTTAGATTATCTTTTAAATGAAAATATTTTTTAAAATTTCTACACAATTCTTAGACTACCCTCCTTCTCCTGACATATTTGTGACCTCCTGCTTTAGCAAACATTTTTTCTGATCACTACCTCAGAGGCTAGGATTCAAAGATAGGGGGAAGAAAACCAAAAACCTTGTCCCTTCTTAATGTAATGAGAGACTTGAATAGCAAACTATGGATTGATTCGTGCTATCCTAAAGGTATGCTAAGAGGCTGTGGGAACATATTGAAAGGAGCTGACCAGTTATCTTAAGAGTAGAGGTGATGTTTAGAGCACGTCATGGAAAAGATATTATTTGAATAGAGCTCCAAAGGATGGGGCTGGGAGCAGTTAAACAAGGTAATAAAAGACATGATTATCATAATGGTGAGATGTGTGTGGCCCTAGATGGCATTTGTAATCTAAGTGGTAAATTGGAACCCAAAAGTAAAAGTTTCGTTAGATCAGGTGTTTAACTATTACTTTATATACTCTAAGGAAGCCGTGAAAATCTTGGAACTGGGAAAGCAGTCATGGCAGTATTTTTTTTTATATATAGCAATTACCACATCATATTGTACTGTTCTCCTTCACTAGTCTTTGGAGTGCTCCAAGGGCCATGAGTTATTAATCTTTGTATACTAAGCTTTTGAGAGAGTAACTGATAAAGCTAATGCTTAGAAAACATTAATTGAATGAGTAAAGAGGATCCGGGAGGGAATGATGACATTCTCTTATTGTAGTGGTTTTAATCTTTTGTGGGTGACAGTCCCCTTTGTGGTTCTCTTGAAAGCTATGAACCTTCTTGAAAATGCAAATACACACAACATTTGGCCTACAGTTTTATGGGATTGATGTCCCTCTGAAGTCAGTTCATGGGTTCCTGGTTCAGAATGCCTCCTTAGGAAATTATACCCAGGGAACTATTAATCACCAGCAAACCTCACCACAAACAATTGTTGTCTCTTAACTGTCTTAAATATGTTAGATTATGATTGTGTCTCTTTCTTATACTTTTCTTGAGTTTTCTTTGTGATTGGGAGGCATTCATTCAAACAACCATGAAGAAAGAATAAATGTTTTTATAATGATTAAGGTAAAACTTTTCTGGTCTATGAAGATAAGTAGACAAGTGTGCTAAGAAGCAGCTGCTTGAGGAGATACTGACATTCCTGGGTTTGGGTTTAGCAAGTGAGTTGGGGTCCCCAAATTGAGTTGGGGACCACTCAATTTCAGGCTGCGATTTGCTAGCAGGACTTGTAGAACTCAGAAAAGCTGCTATACTCATAGGTTATGGTTTATTACAGTGGAAGGATACATATTAAAATCATCAAAAGAAAAAGGCACATGGGGAAAGTGCAGGAGAAAGCAGGTGCTAGCTTCCAGGCGTCCTCTCTCTGTAGTAGCATAGGTGCACGCCGTAGCTCAGCAGTGATGTGACAGCACTTGCTAAGTGATACCGACTAGAAGCTCACTGAATGAAGTCTTGATGACCAGGTTTTTATTAGGGCTCAGTCACATAGACTTGCAGCATTCTTATCTGAGAATATTCCAAGGGCTCAGAGCTCATCCCCTAGGAACTGGCCAAGGGTCAGTCCTGAAGACAAGCTGTTCTTGGAAATGTGTAGGATTTGAGCAACTCAGGCCTGCTGAGTTAACCCTTTCTTGTACAGCAGTTTGGCTGTTCAGTGACTTAGCTTTCTACTGGCCTGCTTGTCTGCTTTTTTTCTAGATACATAATTTCTTTAGTCTAATCATAAGTGGCCTTTCCACATACCTAGACTTTTTTGTTGTTGTTGTTCAACCAGTAATTGGAAAGTTTGCCTGGACTTAAATAAACGTGCCTTGCAGTTTCATGAGATCATAATGAAATGCAAGTGCCTATTTTGTCATTCATTCAATGAGTATTTTTTGAATGCTGCTGTATAACCAGACTTAGTGCTAAATGTGGATTTACAAAAATGATTACTATGAAGCTTAGAGTTTCATAGGGGAGAGAAAAACAAAAATAACAATTTTGGCAAACAGTGTGTACTTTGGGAGCAGTTACCTTCTTGGAGAGCATGGAGGAGGCATGTTTGTTGTGTGTATAGAAAGGTGTTGGTGATAATTAGAGTAAGACTTCCCTAAAGAGGTCATTCCGTGAGTTGAGCCATAAAAATCAAATAGATACAAGTGGGCATGGAGGTGGTGTTTCTCCAGTCATTTCTGCAGCCAGCTTGCCTGTGTGGTTGGAGCGTATATATATTGTTGCTGATGCAGTCTCCTTGGCTTACTGAGAAGGTAGCCTAATCCTAACTAGATAAATGTCTTTCTCAGGGTTTGTACAAGAGAAAAGAGTGGCTCAATACAAATCTATTTCTGTTACTTTATTACCATAAATACATCCAAATGACAGTTCTAACCTACAGCAGAAGTAGTATTTTCACACATTGTTCCCTAATGGGGGAGTATGTAAATGCGTAGTTCTGAGCTAATAAGTATAACCATTAAAAATTTAAATGTACTTTGTTTCAAATGGGCGGACAAACGCTTGCCTTACCTAGATGAAATTGGACATAACTTTACTTACTTGAAAGCAAAAAAGTTTTAGCAAAAAACCTGAATTTTAAAAAAGTCTAAATTTTATATTGCCTTCTACATATATGTGTGCTTCTCAACAGGATTTGGAACTTCGCAGAGTAACAAAAAGTTTTGTTGGTTACAGTGTAAAAAATTATAATAGATTCAAGAATGTATTATGGTGAATATGAGATAATTTCTAATTGTTAATCCTGAGAACTTTTTCTAATAAAATCTTGTTCTCTTTTTCCAGCATTACAGTGTTTCTGCCAACTTTGCACAAAAGATAATTTTACTTGTGTCACAGATGGGCTCTGCTTTGTCTCTGTCACAGAGACCACAGATAAAATTATACACAATAGCATGTGTATAGCTGAAATTGACCTAATTCCTCGAGATAGGCCATTTGTATGTGCACCGTCTTCAAAAATGGGGTCTGTTACTACAACATACTGCTGCAGTCAGGACCACTGCAATAAAATAAAACTCCCAACTGGCGGTAAGTTGTTATGTAATTTTCTTTTTGATACTACAAGAAAAGCTCTTAGACTATGATTTTAGAACTTGAAGAGATCTTAAAAATCGTCTACCCCAACTTGTACAGTTTAGATGCAAGAAAGAACTTGTCCATAGTTGTAGATAAGACTCCTGGGTGTTTTGTTGTTTGAGAAGATGATTGCATGATAGCTGAGGTCTATTATGCCTAAAAGGGTAGCTTCTTAAAAGTGAATTCTGACAAAGCCCACTGCAGCAGTATGTCCTCAGAGTGTTACTATGTTGTCCTCGGAGTGAATTTCTTCTTCCTTGTATAATACTGCAGTCTTTTAAAGCAATCAGTAATGGGTGGGAATTGAGAGTAGCACTAAACAGTCCCAAAGCCTTCATTTTGTAATTTTGCCATGCCTTATAATCTTTACGTTTGAATTATTATATGATTTCTAGATTTTTGATCTTGTATCATATTTTACATTTTAAAATGTCCTGGCAGAGCCAGGAATTTCAAGGATAATCTTAAGATTAGAATAATTTTAAGGTTCTAGTTTGAGATGTCAGTCCGAGCATATGTACCTAACTCTTCTATCACTTTCCTCAAACTGTAATAATCAAAGGAAACAAAAATGGGGGAATCTGTGTTAACATTTGCAGAATTAATGGAAGAGTACTGTCCCCATGCCTACTGTTGTGAGGAACTTCTGCAATTTATAGTGCAGATGGCCTCAGACTACTGAAGAGTTGATTAACCATATGAAAAGAAGTAAGTGAAAGGACCTCTTACAAATCCCACCAATCCCTTAGCTGAGGAGCTGGGGCAAGGCCACAGGGGCAAACTCTCAGTTCTCCTTTAGGAAGCACCTGGTTTCAGTACTCAGAGGGGCAGACCACAGTGCTCACTTTCCACTCAGAGTTGGTCCAGGCATGCTAATTATGTAGGAAGCAGTGTTGTAGCTTAGAGGAAAAGGGCCAGTCCTACCAGTTACAGGCAGGCGTCCACCTAGTGCAGGTGATAACAGCAAAGTAAAACTGAGTCTGCAGTATGACAAGGCAGCTCCCTGGGATCAGACTCTGTCACTGTTAATTTTCCTGACTTTTATGTAGGCATTTGCAATTTTAATAAGACAATATGATAATTCTAGAATTCCCCATTTCCATTGTTTGGGCTTGAAATATCTGAATGGAAACTCACAAAAGCTTTGAAGGACTCACTTCATTTTTAATGCTAAACATACATAAATCTCTTATTCCCAGGTCCTTGATACATAAACATTTTTTTTTTTAAAAAATGACCAAATGAAAAGATTTAGTGGTTCAAAAGAAGTAAATGGAACTGGATAAATCAGAGTAGATGTCATCTTTTGAAATAAACTTACCATATGAAGGACTTTCAGACAGTCCAAGGTCTATTTTCAGTTGTTCACTATGAAAATGAGAACATTTCACAGTTGGTAAAGATTGCTTTCAGATAAAAAGCTCCATTGATGAATTATTTTTCAAAATGCAGTATTGAAAGTGAACAGCAGACTGGATACTGTAATTTTATAGTCAAGTGTGAGACAAGCTTAAGGCAAGATAAGCTTGAGAAATTGTTACAATTCAGAGAAAAAGACAGTTGGTGAGCAAATTAAGCTATATAGAGGACAGATCTAGGTGATCCAATATGCTTAGTATAAAAATTCCAGAAAAAGACATGAAGAGCAGACAAAAGAGGGAAGAATACTATGCAAAATTAATGAAAAAAATACCCAAAACATATAATGAAAAAGATATCACTTTCAAGAATATAGGAAAAAAACAATTGTATATGTATTCAGCACAAGTGAACACTGATTCACCTTTATAAAAGGGGAAAAAAGTTCAGACTTTCTGCTTTTTTAAATACCAGAAAAGCAAAGGAACATCCAAAATTCTTTTAAGCCAAGATTTTTCATATGTAAAGGCAGCAGGCATTTTTAGATAAATATTCAATATATAAGGATACACATACTCTTCCTGAAAGAAATTATTAGAATTAAGATTCTATATAAGAAATCAATCCAAATAAAGATCTCAAGAATGGGGAAGATATGATTTGAAAGAAATAAGTGGTGATGAGCAGTGAACTAGCAAGGCTCAGGATGAATGCCAAAATAATTGTAATTAGTGTGTTTCTGAAACAATGAAAAATGTTAATTATTAAAAGAGATTATAAGAAAATAAACGATCTTGAATTAAAAGTCAGGGTGGTTAAAATAAACTAGAAAGTATACACATGCAAACTCTATTAAAAAAAACAAAGGATATATTTTGCCTGAGCAAAATTGGTGGAGAGATATATACACACACATACACTGAAATGTGAGCTGTTTTGGGATAATGAGGCTGTATAGATTTTTTTTTTCTACTTTTGCTCATCTGCATTTATAGGTTTTTTTTTCTCCCCCCTCCCCCCTGCTCTGACCATATACTGGCCTTGGAATCAGAGCACAAGCAAAAACTACTTGAAAAAAAAAAAAGGGAAGAAGACTTAAGATGTTACTGGGAATTGTTCCAGATTATTGATTCTTTTATTAGTGACTTGAGAGTGATAAATGGGGAAGTTCTAGAATGTTGGTGGTAGCTGGCCTTGTTATTTAGACGATGACTGAAGAATACAGGAAGAAAAAGTGGATGTTGACGCAGCTGGTGATCATAAAAGGAGGGCCAATGGGAAAAGTCTGAATGATTCACTTGTTCTGAGTTTGAACCCTATGAGCTGCTGTAATGAGGCTCTATGACTAATAGTGGTAGTGGCCTACTGTAGGAAATGTAGAGGATTAGGAAATTGTGGATGCCACCTGCAGTGTTTCTGTTGTTGATGTTTATTTCACTTGAGGCCCTTTTTCAGGAAAGCCATCACCTGGCCTTGGTCCTGTTGAACTGGCAGCTGTCATTGCTGGACCAGTCTGCTTTGTCTGCATCTCACTCATGTTGATGGTGTATATCTGCCATAACCGTACTGTCATTCACCATCGTGTGCCAAATGAAGAAGATCCTTCATTAGATCGCCCTTTTATTTCAGAGGGTACTACATTAAAAGATTTAATTTATGATATGACAACATCAGGTTCTGGATCAGGTAATGTAATTGTTTTTCCTTTTTCTTAAAAAATCTTTTTAATTAACTGTTATTTTATTAGTTGGCTGAGCTACTTGACTTAGTTTGTTAAAACTTGGGATAGTGTGAATGCTGTTCCAGCTTTGAGCCTAATAAAGGTCCTTAAGTTTGGTCTATATCTGACTGTGGCTAGTTTAGTATAGACAGATTAGAAAGAACTTTTACTGTTGAAATAAGTCAGTACATCAGCTTCAGGGTGGTATAAATTTCAAAGCATTCTCACCTCATGACTCTGTGAGATAGTAAGATTAAGGATAATTATTCTTATATAGGTGAAGACGAAGTTTAAAGAGGTTTAAATGATCTGTAGCTACCCATTCTATTCGGGATTAACAGCTTTATTTTTATATTTGAAAACATTCACGACAGAAAATGTGTTTGGAATTGTGTATGTTATTTGCTTTTTTAACATAGGAAATTGTTGTCTTTTGCCCAGACCTGGTTTTTTATTAAAATAATGAAATTTTTTTCATGTTTTTCACTTTAGAAAAACATCTAACCACCTTGTTATTTAATATAACTTTAGGATCCATGAGCCCTGTGATATTTGCTTTTCTTAGGTCTGTTTGTTGATTTTTGAGAGATCAGAAATAGGCAGCTAATTGCCAGAATTATCCCCTAAAGTGGATTTTGGCATAGCAATGCTTTATGTTTAAACCGAACGGCGTTTATTTTTTTACTTCTTTTTGCTTTAGAAGGATACTACAAGAGGAAGAGACCCCTGTCCTCTACAATATTATAATTTCACACTCAGCTAGGAATCAAGAGGTTTGATTCCATTGCAAGCTTAAAGTGGTTTGTTAGGACTTTTAAATGAGATTATCTCTCTAGCCTTTGTAAAATATAAATTAAGTTCAAATAAGGGCTACTAAAATAAAGATTTGAAAATATATGTAATGAAAATTTTGCCAATTTTATAATCCAGTAACTAAAGGAACATTAAAGCAGAAATTATCACCAGGGGGAAGAATATGACTCTTAAACACAAAGTCACATGTGATAATACAGAAAGTTTACATAATGACCAGTGACTGTTTGTTTTAAGGAAATGAATATATATTGATGTATATGCATATCTGTTCATTGATTTAAGTATGAAAAAATTGATTTCATGACCTGAAGTCTTCTGTGGAATTTGGTCAAATAAATTCAGTAAGTGAGTTCTGTCTGTGACTGCTAGGACACATGTAGGCGGTCTTTACAGAACCCTGAGGTAATTGTGAGGAGGGAGGAAATGAGATTGGATTGAGATGGAGCAGCCTTAGTACTGAAGATGTGACAGTCTTTAGGCAGGAGGAGTGGAGAGAGATTGTTTAAGGTCTTCCCTGGGATTTCCCATTGGTTCTGAGTTAGTCCAAAGATTTCCTGAAGAAGGTCTGCCTCATTCTAGAAATTATCCTGGACCAAAAAATTATGATAAGCAAGGACCAGAGAGTCACAGAAAATTAAAATGGCTACATATCATTTGGAATTAATCCCTTGGATGTGTTCTCTGATCGCCAAACTTACACCTAGGAAAATCAGAGCAGCTCATACCACTTGGCACAGTGATATGTATCAGGACTCAGTGGGAGCAAGTCTACATAACGCATCAAAAGAAATTGCTGTCTGGATGGCAGTTGATTACCAAATAAGAATACATTTATTTACTTTTTAAGATATAGACAAAGTAAATAGTGGAATTATTATTTTTTCCATTTTATCTTATTTCTAGATCCATGAGGGATTACGGCTCTATTGTCTGAAAGCTCCTCTTCCTCCTTTTATGCCTTACCCTGCAAAAAGTCATCCATATTGTTTGCTAGCTATGGTTTTGACCAGTTAGCTGATGTCTCATGCCCGACTTATTTCATCTTTAAAATAAAAGTAATGAACCCTCTCCCTGTGCACATCATTGGATTATTGTGAGGTTCAAATGAGACAAGATGTTTGTGTGAAAGCACGTGGTAAATTGTAAAGGTATTTCAAAATGACAGGTGTTCCTCATATTGAAAAGATATTTGGAAGAAAAATCTGACATACAGTATCAGTTTGCTACATTGTACAGAAAAGCTTAGTTTAAGGCCTCATTTCCCTGTTATGGTCATTGTGTACTGAATGGCCTCCAGATTTATCCAGACAGAAGCTATCTTCTATTGAATAATAACAGGACTCATGTCTGTGAGTAAGTAAAATGTCTATACATAATTTCCTTTTGAGTTCTTTCACTCATTGAGGAAAAGATAAAACTAAACATTTCATATTATGAATTCACATGCTTATTACTCAGTATTATGACCATAGTTGAGGGAAGGCCCTAAAACACTATCTCTTAAAGACTGTGCTTTTAACTTGGGAACTGTGGGGAAGACGTTGGAGAGCTGAGTTCTGGCAGCTCTAACCTTAAAGCTAACCTAATCCCTGTTGCATTAACTTGAATCACAGGTTGTGCATAGTCCCATATTTAAGCTGTCATTAGATCGTAAAGTGTGTGTGAGCATGCACGTGTGTGTCAGATATTGAAAGAGAGTGAGTCTCTTAGGCCAGTGTTCCTTAATGTCTTATTCAGGCTTATGATCTCTTGTAATATATGCATGCTATTCAGGTCTTATTTCTATTTCCTGATTTGAAGCTGTTTCTCTATTGAAGTTTCTCACAAGCAGTTCTAAAGGTAAAAAAGAATAAAACAGTTTATAGAGATCTAAATTAGGCCTGTTTTTGTCTTTAGAAGAATATTATTACTTTTTTTTTTTAATGCTTAGGTATTCATGTAGGTTATAGTAACCAAATATAGATAATATGATGAATTTAGATTTGGTTTTTAATTTTAGGTTTGCATCTAGAATCCAGTGGTGATGGGGAAGACAAAAACCTTCCTTGTCCCATTAGCCTTTCTTGACCATACCATTTACGTGAGTCCCGAATATGTCGGGCATTTTCAGACTTTCCATTTGCCATTCCCCTTCTTTATTCCTTGCCTTTCTAACTTCCAGAATAGCCTCCTGAAATTAACTCTTAAGTATACTTTAAATCTTTAAGTGCCTGGTGTGGCCCCATTCAAAGACTTTAAGAAAATTTAGCATATTAGTATTTACATTAAACAACATAATCAGCAGTTGGTTTTTTTATGATACAAAAGAACTCCTTGATTTAAATAAGGATTTTTCACAGATCTGTTTAACAGCATCCTTATAAACAAAAAAAATTATTTATAATTAGACTGCTAACTTTTTCAGGAGGTGGGGAGGATAGATAGAGCAAGGGGAGGAAAGGAGCCATTTGAGAAACTTAAAGATGAAAAGAAAAAAACTTCTAATCACTTTAGATATATAAGCATTTGACAGGGAACCAAAGCGAGCAGACGATTTCATTTACTATCATTGGGTTAAATTAATCTAGCAGGTAACTCTCAACATAAATTATAAATGACACAAATTTATGTGTAATAGATGGTATAAATAAAATACTAGTGTAGAACATGATATACATTGGTATTTTAATTGTCAGTGTCAGTATTAATTTAGAATGACAGTTCTTTGGTCCTTGGAGGAGGCAGGGCATGGTTTTAAGTGAATTGGAATTGTCCCAAATATAGTGTCACTTAAATATAGTGTCACCTAAATTTTGTAGGTAGTTAGTAAATTGTTTCCTGTAAATAAAATGTATGACCAATATTTAAAAATACATATTTTAGGGTAAGGCAAGTTTAATTGGTGAAAAAATGCCAGTGTCCCATTACCAAGGTAAGTTACTTGACACTTTTAAAGATACTAGTGTTACCTAGGCAGCCAGTTCCTAGCAAATAAATTGCCTACCTTGAAATGGTTTCTGTGATCACTTTTACTGATTTATTAAAAATTAGACCAGAATTTACTTTTGTGTGTCTTGTGTTCACATACTTTTCTCCTCCTACCAGTAAAACCGTTACCATATTCATCTTTTTAAAATAAGATTTTTGAATTATTTCTCCCCATTTCATGGCTCCTTTTCAGAAATCTTTAATAGTTCCTCTTTTACCCCCAGCTCTCATTGGTTGTGTTGAGCCTGGCATTTAGTACTCTTCATGCTCTGGTGACAGCTCACCTTCTCTTCCGCTGCTTTACCATGTACATCTCCTTTCTGTGTATGTAAGCTGGTTCCCTGAACACGTATCACTCATTTCCTTCTACCTTTGCTTCCATATTTCTCCTGCCTGAACACCTCAGCTCCTTCTCTCCTCTTTTAGTTTTACCCTTCTGTAAAGGACAGTCTAAATTCAACTTACGTTACAAAGATTACTTTGAACTTTCAGACAAGAGTTTCTGCATTCTTTAATTGTATTTACAGTTTTCTTTTTATCATGGATTAATGTTTTTACAAATGTGGTCTTTATCTCCTCACTGAGATTGCTAAGTTCCTTAATAGTGACCCCTTTCTGGGTCACTCTTTAAGGCACCTATGGTGATGTTAGAAACCCATACTATTGTTGATTGTACTGAATACTATTATTTTTTATCTTTAGGTTTACCATTGCTTGTTCAGAGGACAATTGCTAGAACTATTGTGTTACAAGAAAGTATTGGCAAAGGTCGATTTGGAGAAGTTTGGCGAGGAAAGTGGAGAGGAGAAGAAGTTGCTGTTAAAATATTCTCCTCTAGAGAAGAACGCTCATGGTTCCGTGAGGCAGAGATTTATCAAACTGTAATGTTACGTCATGAAAACATCTTGGGATTTATAGCAGCAGACAATAAAGGTCAGTAATGTTTGCTTCTCCTTTTGAGTATAACAAAATCTATTTAAGCCTTTTTACGGTTATGGCTACTAAACATTGTGAAATTTGATGAGAAAAACAAATGTTTGTCATGCCAATTAGATCTATTAGGTCAAATAGAATATGTTAGAGCTTTAGAACTGGGAACTTAAAAGATTTTAAGATTTAGAACTGAGAACTTAAAAGATTTTTAGGAACAGCTTGTTCCTAAATCTCTTATTGTTTTACAAAATGTTAAGAACTATAAAAAAAAAAAAAGCCATGTGCTTTGTTATTTTGCTTCTGGGCGGTTTGTTATTGGGTACAGTCATAATACAGAAAAAATTGTGAACTCTGCTTAAAATTTTGAGGTAGGATAGGGCCCAGGTATCTGTTTCCTTTTAATCTCTTCCTGACCATTAGGGCATTCTGATGTATATATTCTGATAAAAACGGCCTTATTTATAGGGAGAATGAAAATAACTTAGTGTAGTTTATGTTTTAAATTGCCTAAGGATAAGTAGATTAATCTTGTAAGTAAACTCAATTTAATAAAGACATGGTTTCTCCGAAACCACCTTGCCATTGGTAACTTCATGGGTACTTTTTTGCTTAAGGCCCAGCAGGTACTTAAGGCCTGGGGTAAGAGCAGATGCAGAGAAAGCAAGGAAGCCATGTCAGCAGAGTCCCAGTGAGTGGCGACTGCAAGCAGTTGACTTCAGACCGTACTTCATCTACTTTCTCGGCTTCAGTTACTACCTTTGTGCCCACACTTCCTGCTTTTATAGCTTCTGTCAGAGAGTTGTGTTACATCTCAACTCTCATCATCCCAACCGTGAATCAAATGTATTTTCCTGCTTTCCTATTTTTAAAAAATTACTCTCATTATATCTTTTTGGATTGTCTAGAACCATAGTCTCATCTTTTCCCTTTCTTCCTTCCTGTTTATTGCTTCAAAATGTTAAGTGTTTAATCTCATTGGTGATTATGGGTGATTTTATGATTTTTCTTTTTGCTTCTCTATTTTCATATTTATTTACAACAAGCATTTATCATTTTTTTTTCTAACATTTATTTAGAGAAAATTTCCAGTATTAGGAAAGTACAGAATAGTATGGTGAACCTGTATCACCTGCCTTCAGTAATTATTAGCTCACGGCCAGTCATATTAGATCTCTGATTTCACCTATACTGTCCCTAACTAAATTATTGGAAGTCAATCCCAGATAACATATCTTTTCATCAATACCTTTTCAGTTTGTATCTTTAGATTATTAAGAATCTTTCTTATGAAACATAACCACACTATCTTTGTACTTTTTTAAAATGTCATAAAATATCTAGTTGCTTTCAGATTTCTGTAGTCTCCTATTTTTTTTTTTTTTAACAATTATTTATTCACTTTATGACCCAAAGTCCACAGCTTGCATTTGGTTGATATTTATCTTAATATTTATCTTAAGTCCCTTAAAATCTCTAAGCTCTTTTTTATTTTTTTTGTCTTCTTGCAGTTTATGTGTTGAAGAAACTGGGTTGTTTTGTCCTATAGGGCTTATCACATTCTGTATTTTGCTAACTGAATTCCCATAGTGTCTCTGGACTTGCTCTTTGTATTAATTTGAAAACTGGTAGTCAGAATTTGAGATTGAATCTGATTAAGTTTTATTGGTTTTCTGAAAATATTGTATACTTCTTATATATTGTATCTTTTCTATCATATATCAGAAGGCACATATAATGTTTGATTATCTATCTCTTTTGTGACTTAGGGGCAGTGATGGATGTGATTGTTGTAGGCAGTGATTATAAATGGCTACTACCAATTAAATATCACTTAATTTAAAACAAAACAAATAAAAGCAGTGATCATAGTCAGACAAAGTCTTTGGTTTTCATTTTCTTCTGTCTTTGACACCATCTAAATTCTTCCCCAATTCTTAAAATTTTATTATGTTCTGTGACAATAGACTTTATTTATTTTTTAATAGTTGTCTTTGTTTTCTGAAACTCTTCTTACTGATGTCTGTGAAGGGTCTAATTCTACAAATGGTAAATACTCCCTTAAAGAACTTACCCACATTTGTGTCTTCAAACTCCACTGTGGTGGTGACTTTCAAATCTACATTTCGAGGCCCAAACCTCACTCAGGCCCAGCATGTTTTAGGCATGTTCCAACTCGCAAACACACTGGTATAAAATGCTCCTGCTGCTGTGCCCTGAGCTTTCTCCTCACATTTGCTTAAGCTGGTGCTGTCATCTGGTGGTCACCATGGGAACTAGCTGACCTTGCTGGCTCTCTCCGACCCCCTCCTTTCTTCTCTGTCGGATTAATGGACTTTGCCCAGAACTAGCCCCTCCACCCCAATTCCCTTTTCTTTTATCTTCATCCTCTTGAGTTAATTATACCCAGGCAGCCCTTTATATGTGCACAACCTCTTATATATCCTTCTTCTGCCTTCATTAGTTACCTCAAAAAAAATCTTCCTTTCTTCTATCTTCCTGTGTTCCTATTTATTTCTCGTATTTGTGAGCCTTTCAGAATTCAGTCATGGCTAATAAAAATGCAGATAAAGCTAGCAATGCATCTGTATCAAGAAAAAGAAAGTGCAAATTTAAACAGAAGCAGTTTATAAAGTTTATGAAGAACAGGTTTGTAAAGAACTAGTGTCATGAATCTCTAAATCCTTTCAAAAGTACCCAGAAATCCCCTCCAGAATCTTCTGAAAACATCTTCTTAATCTCTTCTAATCAGAGTTGGCTTTACTTCAAATAATAGAATTTGTTTTATGTCAGTTGGATTTTTCCTTTTACAACCAAAACGGAAGGAAACAGCACATTTTAAGTTCTAATGTGCCATGCATTGTACTAAATTCTTTAAAACTGTTCTCTGTTTCAAATCTTCTTAATGGTCTTGCAAAGTAGATTTTCTTGTATAAAAGAAAGAATAGAGGCTCATTCGTTAAAAATTTGTCTTGAGGTCACGTAGTCAATAGCCACGCCCTGGATTCCAGCCTACTCAGAATGACTCAAGGTGTGTGTCTTACTGAATTATGCTGCCTCCTCATATTACTGTAATGCTTTTTTTTCCCCATGATTGAGTGAAATATGCGAGTTTTTAATATATTTCCAGCTACTTCTAGGTTAAATAGGCTTTTGTGGACCAGCTTAGCCAGAACATTTACCTTGATTCCCATGGGAAAACACATTTCAAATTCATGTATCAGCTTACAAATGAACTTGTGGAACACACATTCCTAGTTGTCGATGTTCAAAATTACCTTGTGTAAAACTGGGTTCAGTCCTAACTTTTTCTCCTGGTGACATTTCAGTTCCTGTCTCAGCTTCCCCATGTGTCAGTGCTATGACTATTTTTGTTTTTCTAAGCTGAAAACCTTGGAATCATAATCATCTTGTCTGGCTTCTTTGTGAACTATATACAGAGTCTGTTTTTAAAGTTTGGTTTTTTTTTTAATTTAAGCTCACTTTGAGTTTTGTCCCATACTACTCCATGCCCATTGTGGCCACACTAGGCTCCAGATACTTCTCATCTTCCTGCCTCCTTCCTTCCAGAAACAACCATTGAGCACCTAACCTAGCATTTTTTCTAGGCATTAGAGTCCCCAGCTCTGCTGCTATCTGTGTAGTCTCAAGATTACCATCTTTGAACTCTGATTCCTTATCTCTTAAATGGGATTAGTTATCTTACCCTTATCTGAAGATCTAAAGGACATGAATGTAAAAGTATAAGACAAACTGAAAATACAAGAAAATATGAAGAAAATATGTACAAACTTAAGGTACCATCATATTATAGTTGTGGAATTCAGGATTGAGAGTAGACTGAAACTTTTGAACAAATTATAAACATTTTACAGCCCATCTGAAACATTGCTTTTGTACTTTGCAGACAATGGTACATGGACTCAGCTCTGGTTGGTGTCAGATTATCATGAGCATGGATCCCTTTTTGATTATTTGAATAGATACACAGTCACTGTGGAAGGAATGATAAAACTCGCTCTGTCCACAGCAAGTGGACTTGCTCATCTTCACATGGAGATTGTTGGTACCCAAGGTAACTTGAAGGAATCCAGTTATTTAAGCTTTAAATTCCCATGAATCTAATGTGTGTTTAGAAAATTTTTTCAAGAAGTCAGCCTAGTTGGAGTTATCTTTTCTGTTGAAAAATCTCATATGAAGTTAGGAATCTGGGAATTTGTTTAGAGAGTCTCTAGTCATTGTATCAACACTGATATTTTTGTGAGTTTTTAAAAGTAGCATTCAGTCTTGTGATTTTTGAGGATCTCGGTTTTATAATTTAATTCTAAGAGGATGTACTTTTACATGTAGTATCAAATAAAATATGAAAATGCTTTGTAAACATCATGCTCTGTAAATGCTATCTGGCCATCTAACAAAATTATATTTGACTTTGAGATAAGGAGAGTGTATGAAATTTTTTACAGTTGAAAAATGAAACACTAAGTTTTAGTTGTAAAATTTTTATGCTGTCGTTTTTATGCTGTATGGGATATCAGATGCCAATAAATCTCTGTGCTTTAGCGATTGTTATTCACTTGCTACCTGATTCACTTGAGGTTGTTAAGTGATGGCTCAGGTATTACGGGTGATGTCGGCTAAATGCTTTGATACTGGGATAAGAGAAGAAACTTGAATCTGAAGTTAAGAATTATGATTGATATTATTGTTTAAGCAATCAAGTTTAATTTTTTTTTCCTTAGGAAAACCAGCCATTGCTCATAGAGATTTGAAATCAAAGAATATCTTGGTAAAGAAGAATGGAACTTGCTGTATTGCAGACTTGGGACTGGCAGTAAGACATGATTCAGCCACAGATACAATTGATATTGCTCCAAACCACAGAGTGGGAACAAAAAGGTACCCTTATAAATAAATAATATTTAATACATTCCAAAAGCAATATCTTTTCCTTCTCATTTGTATATACATATCTTTTCTGAAACTCAGACTTGTACTTTATTAGATTGCCCACAGGTAGAAGATCTCATGATCGTGCCTGCTCTGAAGCCAAGGTTACCTGACTTAAAAAGATACCTGCTGATGAAAGGTGGCTTGGATTTCCAGAAAATATTAGCATTAGTTGCATTAATTATAATAGCAATAGTAGCTAATGTTTATAGGGTACCTACTATGTGCCAGTCATTTTAATGGGTTTTTATATAGTTTAATGCCCTCCTCAAATACCGTAGCTAGCCCACTATTTTCATGTTTTCCATTCCTGAAAACATGCCTCCTTTCTCTTCTCCTTAGAACTTTTACATGTGCTATATCCTAGAGCGTACTTTCCCCTATTGTTTTCTCTTAACTTGTATTCACCCTTTCTTTCTCATAGGAAGCCTCTTGTGGACTATTAGGTGTTCTTGCCAAGAGCTCTCATAGCACACTGAACTTGGACCATTGAGGCACTTACTTACATTATGTTGCAACTGTCCTTTATTTGTGTAGATATTCTATTGGATTGCAGGCTGCTTAAAAGCAGCCTGTTTTCTCAGCATCATCACAGCACCTAATACATAGTAGATCCTCAGTAAATATTTGTTGAATCCACAAGCCTTCAAAAGAATCTAACTAGATAGATGTCATAACCCTCAATTCACAGATGAGGAACCACCTCACAAAGGTTAAGTAATGTGGCCAACCTCATATAAGCTGAAGAGCTGAGACTTGAACCTGTGAACACAGGCATTGCTTTGTGTATAACAGCATGTTGCCACAACATATCTTCAAACTACCATCTTGGCCTTGGGTAGAGCCCAGCTGTATTCTGTCTAAGCTGTCTTCATGATTTCTGGATTCCGCAAGGACGCTCAGAACTCTCAACTCTAGGTTCCAGGACAGGGGTTACCGCAGGACTTTGGGGATCCTGTTCTATAACCTTAGTGTGGTTTTTGGAACTTCAGAACCCTACAATGCAGCATCAATAGGAGGACTGGCATTCTTTTTTAATCTATTATTTTCTTCTCTAGAATATGTCCCTGTCCTTCTTTTCATCCTATTTTAGTGAGAAAACTTCTAGATTAAAATATACGGTCCCTGCAAAGTACATGACAGAGTTGGAGGTAGTAAAAGTTAGGATATGTATGTATAATATGTTAAATATATATAAAAAATTTTTCTTGAGTCTAATATGACCTCAGTTATGTAATATTTTATGTTTATGACTAGAGAAGTCCAAAAGGATATGTTCATCAAAATATTTAGCACTTTGGAAGTAGTGGAATGATTTTTTGCTTTGTACTTTATGAACTTTGGGAAAATTTATCTAAGAAATATGAGTCATTTTTAAAAACAGCAGAACCATGCTGAAAGGGGGGAAAGTCTTACAGTTTATTGATTTTTTAAAAAAAATCTCAATAGTAAAAGAAAATTTATGAACCAGTTCAAAAGTAATATGGCCACCATTCCATAAAATAAAATGCTGACTTCTTTTTTAGGTACATGGCCCCTGAAGTTCTAGATGATTCCATAAATATGAAACACTTCGAATCCTTCAAACGTGCTGACATCTATGCAATGGGCTTAGTATTCTGGGAAATAGCTCGACGATGTTCCATTGGTGGTAAATTGCTCCCCCTCCCACTCACTAGTGTGTCACGAACAGGAGTTGTTTAAGAATTGCCTTCTTTTTTATTGAAGGAAATTATACACATCAGCAGTCTGAACTTATGTTCACCAGGTGATCACTAAGAATGCCAAAGAAAATAAAGGAAATAAAACCTGTAGTGCGGGAGAAATGACATTACATGCTTTATCCTCGTGTAGTCTTTTTCTGTTTCCACTTGAATCTTAGGAAGCATCAAAAACCAGCCCCTTATTTTGGAATATAGTTATTTAGAATGGACAACTGCTTCAGAAGCCACCTGGGAAGCTGTTTCTAGCATGTTCCTGGGTCAGACTGATCCCTCCACCACGCCCCGAGATTGTGGTTATTTTTACCAACCTGATAACTAGAAATTAGGGAAAAAGGGTACAGTACAATTACACTGCCATTACATTACTTTTTAAAGTAAATTTGTTTTAACTTTTAAATTTAGTTTTAGATTGAGCACTTTTGATGTTTATTTGAGAAAGTCTTTTACCCTTAGGGGCCCACGCTTGGCTAAGACTAGGGCCTCAGGTTCTTCAGGCAGTGAGGAGCAGAGTATGTCTGCGTTATAGCAAAGAGGACAGATTATTGACAGATACAGGTAGGAGGAGGGACTTGCACCTCAGGCTTGTCTTGTAGGATTTGCATCTCAGTGATAGAGGGTATATATATCCCCACATCACGTGAGAGGCTTTGTACTCAGAATAAAAACTCATTTCTTGCACATTAGGATTCTAGGGGAAAATGTCAGTCTGGTCATCACAGCTCATAGTTCACCATCATTAAAATAGCCTTTCCTGATCCCATGGTGATACTTAGTTTCAAGGTGTAGGATCAATAGAAACTCAGGGAGGTGGATGAAATAGAGCCAGCTGTGAGTCCTGTTCCACTTACCTGATTTAGTAATGGAACACTATAATAGGACGCTTAGGCGTTCCTTTTCTGTTTAGTCAAGAGTGGGCTGGCATTATCTGAGTAAATTCTTTAAAATAGATTTTCTTTTTTTTTAATCAATATAGGAATTCATGAAGATTACCAGCTGCCTTATTATGATCTTGTACCTTCTGATCCATCAGTTGAAGAAATGAGAAAAGTTGTTTGTGAACAGAAGTTACGGCCAAATATTCCAAACAGATGGCAGAGCTGTGAAGTGAGTATTTCTTTTGGATACTACGCAATTTTCTAAACTGCTTCTGCCTCGTAGGTAGAAATTTGCTACATTTCTTTAAGGAAAACAGACACAAGAACTCTTTTTCTTTTTCATGGCAGTTAAAGCAGTGAGTAAATACAGAATAATTTGGTTTTCATGTTCATTTTTAAGCACATTTAAAGGGCCATGGAGCATATGCAGTGGCCGTCGAGGTATTGGAACAGTGTTTAGATCTGTCAGTACCTAGAGTGCCTGCATTTTAAATGAATGATTCACTTCAATCAGGGCAGTCCAGGATTCTGATGGGCATTAGGAGACCTGTGTTCCAGACCAGCTGGCTGCCATTTCAGAGTGACAACAGGCAAATCACTTCAGTTCTCTAGACCTTAACATGCCTTTTTTGTAAAATTAGGAACTTGGGTAAGATGATTATGAAGACGGTTCAGGTGATTTTATATTTCACTCATCTGATTGCCTGTATGACTGCTCACCAGGAATTTGGGCAAAATGTTTTCCCGCAGTGCCTGAGTTTCTCAGCCTTAGTGCTTACAGGAAGTTTTAGAAATGTTTTTTTCGTTGTAAATTTAAGGAATTCGTAAGACAAGTTTTATTTACTCTATCTTTAATTGCTAGCTGTTACTAATTATAATATTGGTGAGGCAGAGCATTTCCCTCCAGATTTGGAGTTTTGTACTATAGGAGGAATAAAAAACTGGTCACTTAAGTAGTTATTTTACATCATAAAATAACAGAGGACTCAGTAGAACTTTTGACATCAAGAGAGCTCCTTAGCTACTTCTAAGAAACTCACGTACCCAGGCCCAGATAAAATACATCACAAGTGCTCAAGGAATTCACATGTTTAATAATGAAATTGGGCCAGATTTGTCTTTTAAAAATTAGATCTTGATACTGCAAAGTACAGACTTGAAGTATTCATGTACTCATTTGATAATTAGAGCAGATTATTCTTGAACAGATGGCTTTTTAAGCATGAAGAAAAGTTAGCAGTTAACATTAAGAGCACACATGCAAGTTGCAGTTACTATCACATCATGCTAAATTAATGCCATCACTGTCATTTTTTTTCCATTTAGTTTTCTATATACTTATCACTAATTCAATTTTTTATTTTTCTAGGGTTTTAAAACTCTCCTCTCAGTAGTTGAAACACATCAAGTTTCTGTAAAACTGATAGAATTGTCTTCCATCATTTCTGACCTTTTCCAGTCTGGACTGGTTACTCTCCAGGCCAGCCATACAGCTTTTATCTTGGGATATCCCTCACCTTTCATCCTGGGATTCCCTTTGCTGCTTTTGTGGTGAATCTTCCTTCCTGCATTTCCTGTCTGCCTGTTTCTTCTTTTGCTCATTTCTCCCCTTTTTCAGGTCTCAGCTCAGATATTACCTTGTCCATGAGCTGTTACCCCTCCATCTATTTAAAATAGCATCCTCCTTCTCTAGTATATTTTATCTCCTTCCCTAAATGACATTTCTCTTTAGCACTTGGCACTGACAGTCCGCATATTTTACTTATTTATTAATTACATGCTTTAGCCCTCTAGAATGTAAGCTTTATATGGACAGGAATTTTGTCTGATCACTACTATATCCCTAACACTTAGGATGATATCTGGTAGATGGTAGGCACTTGATAAAATATTTGTCAAACGAATATATATATGTGCTGGGCACTTGGTCCTTTTCATCTGGAAACAAATGTTTACTTCTAGAAAATGATCCTGAAGTATTTCTTTGATTTCTTTTTTCTCTTTTAACTCTGATGATGAATGTTAGACCTCCTTCTAATTTTTTAATTTCTCTTTCCCGTTCTCTATCTCTTTATCTTTTTTCTCTAATTTCTGGTGGGTTTATCAGCTCTTACTTTTTTTTTAATCAGGTTTGTATTCTGGTTCTGTAAAGTTTTTCTAAAGTCAAACAAGAAAAAAAGTTATCAATGATAAATTCAATATCAGTATTTTCTTGATCTGAGTATATTAATGATAGATTATTGATATTTTTTTCTCTCTGTACAGCTTCTGATTTGTCCAAGTTGCTTTTCTATGTTTATGTCAGCTTCTGCACTTCATATTACTTTCCCCAAATCTCTGATCAAACTTATTCTATCTACATGTTTAAAAACAGGGCACTAAAAGCTTATAGGAAGCTTTGTGCACATGAATGGAGCTTTTTGACTGTGATATTGAGGGTGATCTAACTGGGTTGCTTCCTTGGGGAACCACTGATGTCAGTCCCTTCAGGTCTGTCCTCTTGGGCTGCTCACATTCACCCTAAAGAAGACTGACTCCTCATCTCGTGCCTGGAGGAGTATGTACAGTTGTCGCTTGTGTTTTGGAGAGAAGGCCTACAGTCAGCATTTAGCGTGTTGTCAGTATAGAGCTTTGTTCTGATGTTGCCCAAGTCAGAAATTTGTTTTACTTTCTCAGATACAAACCTCTAGTCTTCTCCTAGGGTGGAGGAGGGGCAGGTATCTGGGGTTTTAGCTCTTTTGGCTGATCCTTCTATTTTTGGCCTGAACTTCATTCCAGAGGTACTTGATACAGTTAATTCCTCAGTTTAAGGGGCTGTTTCACTGTGAGTCGAGTTCCTCCTATGCCTTGCACAGCTCTGGTTTAGGATTCTGCTTTTTCAGGTCAGCCGAGTGAGCTACCCTGTGTCTGTCTGCTTTCCAGCTGCCAGCACCAGGACCCCATTGATGGGAATTTAGGTCATTTCTGTTCAACTGCTGTTAGAAATAATGCTCAAACCAAAAAACTTGTGCATACATCATTTAGAAAGAAAACTTACAGGTAAAGATTCTTATCTAGATCACTGGGAAACGATGCATGCATTAATTATTTTTCTTGTATTTTCTTGTAGGCCTTGAGAGTAATGGCTAAAATTATGAGAGAATGTTGGTATGCCAATGGAGCAGCTAGGCTTACAGCTTTGCGGATTAAGAAAACATTGTCACAACTCAGTCAACAGGAAGGCATCAAAATGTAATTCTGCAGCTTTGCCTGAACTCCACTTTTTCTTCAGCTCCGCTCCTGGGTTTTAATTTGGGAGGTCAATTGTTCTACCTCACTGAGAGGGAACAGAAGGATATTGCTTCCTTTTGCAACAGTATAATAAGGTCAATTAAAACCTTCCCAGGATTTTTTTGGACCCAGGAAACAGCCATGTGGGTCCTTTCTGTGCACTATGAACGCTTCTTTCCCAGGACAGTTACAAAATGTTGTGTAGTCTACCTTTATTTTTTATTAATACAAAATGTGCTTTTTTTTTTTTTTTTTTGATGATTGCTGGTCTTAACTTTAGGTAACTCTGCTGTGTTGAAGATCATCATTAAGGGTAAAGGAGCTGGATTGCTGAGTTATATAAACATTTCTTATTTTTAAAGAAAGTGATTTATTCCTGGTTAGTACATTCTCAGAGGATTCTGAACCACTAAAGAGTTTCCTTGATTCAGACTTTGAATGTACTGTTCTATAATTTTCAGGATCTTAAAACTAACACTTATAAAACTCTTGAGTCTAAAAATGACCTCATATGGTAGTGAGGAACATAATTTATGCAATCGTATTTTGTATACTATTATTGTTCTTTCACATATTCAGAACATTACATGCCTTCAAAATGGGATTGTACTATACCAGTAAGTGCCACTTCTGTGTCTTTCTAATGGAAATTAGTAGAATTGCTTAAAGTCTGTGTACGTTAAAACTTAAGAGTGTTTTAATTCAAAAAGTTTATCTGGGTAACCCAGACTTTTTCAGTTTCATTTTTTGGAAGAGTTTTTGTGCTATGTCATTTGCTATTCCATTTTGAAAATACCTTTCTCCTACCAGAATGTGCTTAAACCACTAACGAATTGAAGTGGCATTAATTGGTCAATTGTTATCATGGTCATGTTTGAATAGTCTCACATTAAGTTTTTACATTTTAGTTGTGTTGTCTGAAGATACTTTAAAAAACATCAAGTAGCGCTCTAGATGCTTATAGTACTTTAATAATTTAAAATTTGTAGCATACAGACTAATTTTTCTAAAAGGGAAAATTTGTCTAGCTACTTGTGAAATTTGTGTGGCATTCTGTAAGCTATTTTGTTCTTTATCTGATCAAAGACAGTGTTATTTTTTTAAGAAATGAATTACATTTAAAGTTAGAATTATGGTTAATGTTAAATAATAGGCCTTTTTCTAGGAAAGTAAGGGTAGTTCATTTGAGTGGATAACAGGTATACAAGAGTCAAATTCGTTACGTTAGGAGTCATTGTTCGATGGGTTTTCTGTCTTTGTAACTAAAGTTAGAGTTAGTGTGGTTTTGAAGTCTCACTACACTTTGAGGAAGGCAGCTTTTAACTCAGTCTTTCCTTCTGTGTGCAGATATTTTAACTGCTTAATTTACATGGTTATGTAATGAATTCACTGTATTGTTGAGTTTGGGAGAGTGGTAGCTAAAGCATATTCTGAATATAGGTTCTCTATTTACAAATGTTTTTGGTCAAATGTTTTAAGTAAGCTTGTCATAGTCTTCTCATATTAAGTTGAAACTGGCTTATAACAACTAGTTTTTACTTCTAGTGCTAAAAGTCTTTGTAGGGCTTTTACAATTTTCAAGTTCTCTTTATCACTGTGATCTGATTCTGAGAGGTGGGGATACTATCCTAGCTGTGAGGCAAGACACTGACTTTATAGTGCTATCGATTTCCCAATGAAAATGTCAGAATAACCTCTATAGTATTTTGGTCAATAAGAAATTGTGGCCATTTACACAGAGCTGCATTCTGATATGTCTTATATACATAGAGTAAATTTGAAAGACTATTTGATCTTAAAGCCAAAGTAATTTTAGAATGAATGACATATTACATAAGAATTTAGTGTCAATTTCATGTGCTTAAAAACATCATGGGGAAAATGTGCTTAGAGGTTAATATTTTGATTCCAAATTTGAGTTTTTTCTGTAGTTACCATGATTTTATCAAAGCAAATGAATGAGTTTGAGAGGTCTGTTTTTATAATTGGATTTCCTGTTTAATAAAGCTCTGTGATCAGGTACTTTTTTTTTTTTTTTCCATTTCTAAGCCTACTAGATCTGCTTTATGAAATCCAGGGACCAATGCATTTTATCACTAAAACTATCTTTATGTAATTTTAAGGACATACCAAAAGTTCTTGTCTGATTTAGAGTTGTGATATATGATTTCTCACTTTCATATAAGGTAATCAACTTTTGCTGAAGATACTCTTTATTAAATCAAAGATTGAGTTACGTTATACCTGTTCTTGCCTAAGTAGTTAAAAATGTACTTTCGATGAATCAGGGAATTTTTTAAAAGTTGGAATTTAGTTCAAATTGAATTTGCATATTACTGCAGCTAATTCCTTTTTAGGCTAACAGCAGTTTGATAAACCCCAACTGGCTAATATTAAACATGAAAGCAATTTAAAGGATGAAATAGACCAAGTGCAGCTAAATTCGACTAGAGTAGTAATTTTGTCATTAGAAACACAAGCCTCTGTTTATACTGCCTGTCTTCACATGCTCACCTAAGATTCAACTTGGCTAAAATATATCTTCAAGCAAATTACCTGTCCACATCTATTTTGTCAATACCCAGGAGATACGGGGACGGGGAGGTATGACCTAGTGGGGCGCAGACATCCCTGGTCCTTCCTTTAATAACTTCAGCTCCGTTTCTCCCAGCCTGCCTTCCTGCTGGTCCCTGACTCAGATACCATGGCCTTACCACCTCCCTTCTCCTTTCCCCTCCCCCAGCAGCCTTTTGACTGAATAGCTGCTTTTGATATCTAGAGCAAAATGGTTGATGGAAGCTTTGGTACATACTCTCCTTTCCTTGAGTCATTAGATATCGCTGAGAGGGTTCTCCAAGTTTGGAGATTGGGTAGATGATGGCCCTGCTGGATGCGCTACTTTGACTTCAGCCTTGACCAAGGAGTGGCAGCTATGGCAATGGGAGTCGTGCCAAAAGCAGCATAGCCATTATGTTCCCTATAGGACAGGGTAAGGCCCAAAGAGCTAAGCCTGTAATTCTGCTGTAATGATAGTGCTCAAGAAGTGCCTTGAGTCGGTGTACAGTGCCATGGCCGTCAAGATTTTCAAATTTCAGTACTAATTACAAGATTTAAGTGGTTACTTGGCCATTTTGGAGCTTGTGCCTGAGTTACTATTTTTTTTTTCCTTTACATCTGAGAACTGTCACATAGAATATTTTGTAAAACGTGGCAAAGTGATAATTAATATGCATAGGAAAATCAGTATCCCATTAGACATGTCATATCAGGAGTTTATTTTTATCCTTGCACTAAAAGAGTGATTGTAGATGAGCTATTTTCTTTTGTTCCTTGACCGTGGCGGTGTTCTGGCTCCAGAGGAGGGGATTCTGAATAGCGGTTCTGTTACAACTTGGCAGAAAGTGCCGATTCAGATATTGTTGAGACCCTAAAGAACATTCTGGAACCTATACTGTAGTTCTGGTGTCTGTTTTGGGGTGCCGGAACACACGTGGGCCCTCTGTCTAGGAATGCTGGACTTCTAGGACATTTTGAGGATTGTCAGTACATTTACACTTTTCAATCCCATTATGCAATCCTATTGTAATTGTAAACTTTAAAAAATGTGGTTAATAACATTCAACCTGTTTCTTAAAGCTTAGGAAGAACTTCAGTGAACTTGTTTTTATTTTTTTAACAAGATTTGTGAATTGAATATCATGAACCATGTTTTGATATCCCTTTTTCACATCGTGCCAATGGAATGGGGTGTTTGATATTTCTTTAAATGTCAAGGAGATGCTTCAAAATGTCAATTGCTTTAAACTTAAATTACCTCTCAAGAGACCAAGGTACATTTACCTCATTGTATATATATGTTTAATATTTGTCAGAGCATTCTCCAGGTTTGCAGTTTTATTTCTATAAAGTATGAGTATTATGTTGCTAAATTACTCAAATGGTACTGTATTGTTTATATTTGTACCCCAAATAACATCACCTATACTTTCTGTTTTCTGTATTTTATTGTATTTGTGCAGAATTCTTTTGGCTTTATCAGTGTAATCTCTGCCCTTTCAGATGTGTACAGAAAATGTCCATATAAATTTTTGTTTAAGTTGAATGATTCTGAGAAACCTGTAAAGAGGAGAGGAAAACAACTGCAGTTCCCCATGTTTTTAAAAACTGTATATTGTATTTGTAGTAATATTCTGAATGAACTGTAAATAGGAAGTAGAAGAGTGATACTTATGTCAAGTCCTAACACTACAGTAGAAAAATGGAAACAATGCAAATAAATTACTTTTTTCCCCAACTGCTAGTGGCATAATTTAAAATAAAGTGTGTACATTGGAGCGAGCCACGCTGTTATGAAATGTAGTTGCTGTAGACAGAGACTAGAATCTTTGGATTACTACCCAAGACAAGTTACAATATTAAAACACATGCCTGCATCTGCGTACATTGTACATCGTGGCAGCTTTCCTGTCACACGGTTGGGGGTTATCGATCTGTCAGTGGACAAGGTTCCTGTGAACTGCTTTGCTTCTGGTTCAGCAAATTTACTAAGTTTGTACTAAAGCAGTGTTATTATTTTGCTTCTTAAAATTTTTCAATGATTTTCAGAGGAAATTCAAAGTATTTTCATCTTCTTTCCCAATTTAAGAATTTGTGAGAATAGGCTTCTTTGTAGAAATTGGCTTTTTTTTTTTTTTTTTTAAGTATCAATATCCTAGGCATGAGATTTTGGCTGGTAAGAGAACTGAGGAAATATTGCTTAAAAAGATGTGGGTCCCAAACCCTTGACTGACTCTGGGCGAGGTTTTGCAGATTGGATTGCTCTCACATCAAAGACTAGTTACTTCAGCTCAAAGACTAGATTAAAAGTTTTTTTTTTTTTCCTTCACAATAAAGGAGACATAGCACCAGGATGCAGAACTTTTGTTGAAATTTGAAAAAAAGTGAAATTGTTTTCAAAACATTATAGATTTCAGAGAAACAGCAGGACTAGCTTCGTACAGACCTCTCCTGCCTTTGATGTTTCCTAATTTGGAAAAGGTTTTTACATATGTGACCTACTAGACATATCTCAAACTGTGTACTTTTTCGATTTCATAATTGAGGATTTACAAAACAGGCTATTCTGAGAACTGAGTAGGAAAATTCGATGGTACAAAATCTAGGCCTCAGTCATGCATGATTTTTAAGGATTAGGAAAGATAGAATTAAATAATATTAAATAATCATTGTGGAAATAAAGGAGTTTTTTTGTCTTAGCTATAGAGAAATGGAAAAGGGATGGTGGTAACTCTTCTTTCCTATCATGAAGATAGAATTAAAAAAAGTAGGGATTAGCAGCTTAAATATTTCAAAGAAGGGAAAACAATTGAGGGAAGGTAAAATTAGGAGATAAAAAGAAGTATTGATGTGAATCGGTAATAAAATGTGCATATGTTGTGGCAGGCAGCTCTAAGACACCGAGGATCTTAATATTTTAATAAATGGTGTGCAGGGAGGTGCAGTTCTACGTTTAAAGGGAGGTGTGGGTTGATAGACTGGTAATGTTAGACATTTTAAAAGAAAACTATATGGGAAAGATTATGGACATCAACACAAAATGAGAACTGCTGCTTTGTACTCCTGATACCCTCAAGAGGTATCAGGTGATCACTGGACTTCAAGCTGGAATAGATGTGGGCACTCAGTGAGTGATGGATTAAATGCATTTTTGAGACTTAGTTCCAGATGTAAGAAATGATTGTGTTTGTTATTACCTAGCATTTGAGTTTTTTCTAAGTGTTTTTATTTGCATATCTCACCTGATTTTTGCAACTAGGACGGATGGTGACCAATTGAAGGTCTCCTAAGGAGGGTACACAGGACTGAGAGGAGCCTGGTAATCCTTCCTCCAGGGAATCACTGAAGATGAACTGGGCATGGATTTGATAGAGGGGTGAGGTCAGAGGGGACAGGTATTGCATGAGAGGCTCAGGAGTAGCCTCTCCCTCTTCCCATTCTACCTTGTGAGCTTCTTTCACCCAGAAGGTGGAGCTCAGTGTGCCCTCTGGGAGTTCTCATTTCAGAGACTGTATAGCTTGGGAGGCCAGTGGTAGTTGGCCAAGCTCCAGCTGCAGCCTTAGTGTTCACCTCAGTTTTGAGAATAGTGAGGCCTTTCTAACATCTGTGTCTTCTCATGGCAAGAAAAAAAAACAGAAAAGCCTAGAAAGCTGAACACTCTAGGTGTTCTCAATAGTTCTGCAACCTGCTAGAGCAATTATAAGCAGTACAGGTGGAATATACTGGGTGACCTACAGGGGCACTTCTTTCTGGTTCCTGAAGTAGGGAGGCACAAGGAGAGCACCTGGGTACAACTGTAGCAGATTCTTCTATGCCAACCGCCTATCTTCTGTTTCTCTCACAAAAGTGTAGGAAAGGTGACTTCTGCTTTTTCGTGAAGCTCATCTAGCAATCTCAGGCTGGACAACCTGGAGTTGTGACTCAGGTTTAGGGCCTGCAAATTCTGGAGTAAGTTTTCACTCCCCAGTGGGCCTCAGAGTGTCCGACATTCCTACATCTAATCTTAAAGCTTGTGGTGGGACCTCTGACTCGTGACCAACAAAGAGGCTGGGTGCTCAAGGGCTGTTTCTACACCTTCAGGCAGCTCCAGGGCCTGGGTTGGGAGCAGTACAAGATTTAAACACAATTAGATTTCAGAAATGAAGGCAAAAAATAAGAATATGGCAAAATAAAAAATCTTCATGACCTTGGATTAGGCAAAGATTTCAACGTGACACCAAAGCAAAATCCATTAAAAAAATTGATAAATTGAACTTCATTGAAATTAAAATCTTTGGGGCTTTAAAAATCCTTGTTAAGAGAATGAAAAGATGAGCCAAACACAGAATATATAAATCATATATCTGATAAAAGATGTATTCAGAATACATAAAGAACACAATGAGATAATTGATCCAATTAAAAATGGTCAAAAGATTTGATAGACATTTTCTCAAGGGGACATGAATGACTAATAAACAGTTTCTTAAAGACGAGGAAATTAAAACCACAATGAGAAATCACATCCAGTAGAATGACTGTAATCAAAAAATAGAATCCCAAGTATTGGCGAGGATGAGAAAAAACTAGAATCTCCGTACGTTGCCGGGATGTAAAGTGGTACAGTCCTTTGGAAAACAGATGGGTAGTTCTTAAAAAGTTAAATGTCAATATACCATAGGACCCTGCAATTCCATTTCTAGGCATCCATGCACAATAGGGTTGTCGGGTAAAATACAGTGTACTCAGTTAAATTTGGATTTCAGGTATTGTTTAATTAAGTATGTCTCAAATATTGCATGAGACGTACTCAAAAAATTTTACCTGAAATTCAAATTTAACTAGGCATCCTATATTTTAACTTGCTAAATCTGGCAACCCTAATCGAAATGTCCACCAGCTGGTGAATTGATTTTTTAAAAAATAATATGTTTATTGAATGCTTTACTATGCAGTAATAAAAAGAGATGGACTTACAGATATGTGTTGCAGCATGGATGAGCCTCAAAACCATCATGCTAAGTGAAATAAGCATGACAAAAAGACCACAAACAGACACAAGGGAACTTTTTGGGATGCTGGGAATGTTCTCAAACGATTCTAGTGATGAGTGTATAACTCTACGAATTTACTAAAAATCAATTGTACACTTCAATAGGTGAATTACATAGTGTATAAATTATACCTCAATACATTTGTTAAAGAAAAGAACTGCCACTCTCCCACATCACACTTTATGTGCCAGTCATATTGAATCACCCTCACGTTTCCCAATACGCCTCTTGCCTCTGCTCAGGCTAGGCAGTGCCCGCCCTTTGCTTCTCCTCTGCCTTGCTATGTGAATCATCCCCAAAGATCCTCTCAAATGTCATTTCCTCCACTATTCACTCATTCTGCCTGATGGTAGGTCACTGATCTGCTGCAGTATTTACAAACCAATTGGCACAGCCTCTAATTGCAGTTCATTTCCATTTTAACTGCCTTGGGCGGGGGGGTTTTAGGACTCTCTCTCTTCACCTTGAAGGAAGCAGATGGTTTCATACCTTGTCCTTTCCAAGCACCTAATGTAAGAACTAACAAAATAGGTTCTGTGATTATCTGTTTGCTGACCCTGCTGGACTTTCGGCTTCTCAGGGAATGTGGCTTGTCTGGGGTGCCCTGTCAGAAGCACAGTATCATACCACTTCTTAGGGGACTGCTCTCTGTGTAGCTCTGTGAAGCCACGGCATATCGTATGCATGCTTCCCTCTAAGACCTTATATAAATTTTGTGTCCTCGAATGGTTTCGAGGCCTGCTTCTGTAGCTGGAAATGAATACCCCGAGAATAGGGACCATATGTCATTCATTTCTGTGAACCTCTTGCCTAGCCCAGGGTTTGGCTCAGAGCAGCCTCCAAGAAGAGTTTGTTGAATGATCATCTATCCAGTTAAAGGAATCCTAAATGATTATGAACTGATCTGACAAAATGCAACTGTGGGACAGGATATTTACTTTAGAGAAGCAAAATCTTTCACCCTGGGGCTCCCCAAATTGAGGGCCTGCCTGCAAGCTTTTTAGAAAAAGCCTTTGCAGCCCCCAGCTTCCCTGCAGGACCTTCGTGGAGAAGATTTTTTTCTTACTGTCCCACCAATCTCTGGCTGCCTTCTTGATATTCTTTTTCCCTATTCCATCAACTACTTCTTTGTCCTTTTATTAGTTTGTATTTTTATCATACTTGATTTTTTTTTTTTTTTTTTTTTTTTAACAATAGGCTCTCCTTAGAACCCAGCACCTTTTTGTAAGATGGAAGTTTGAGACTTTTGGATTGAAATGTCATGTGAAAGAATATTTTTACATTCTCAATAAATATTTATTGAGTGTTGACTATATAACGGATCCTGTACATATTATTCACCTCGTCCTATTTCTTGTACTATCCTTCCAAATTAAAAAAAAAAAAATTTCTTATTTACAGTGTTCCAGACCTCAGCCCAGCTTGTGAGCTTAGCAAACCAGATTTTTGGACGTCTTTCCAGTTCTCATATTTTGTGATTTTAATATAGTTTTGTTTCCCTTTGTGTTCCTTTGTTTATTTATTTGTTTGTTTATTTATATTTAGTATTTCATACTTTTTATTTTTATCTTAATTTTTTTAAATTTTATTTTTTAAATTGAAGAAATGATTTAAATTACTACCCCTCCCCCTTCCCCCTATTTATCTCCTCCCTCCCCCATTCCCCCTTCCCTCCGGTAACCATTAATTGTGTTTCTTCTTTAAA